GCATGCTTGTCTGAATATGACATTTTATGTTCTGATTAGCATCAGCTGGAATTGAACTAAGCCATACAAAACTTATCTCCATAGGAACACAGAGAATACTGGCAGGAGAGGGTGCCAAGCAGGCTGCTAAGGAAATAAAATTATTTCCTCTATCACAAGCTTCCTCCCACCCCTAGACAATATTTTCCATACTTAAGTTTGGCTCAAAAGTCTAGTACATTTATTTAATCTTTATTTTTTTATTTCTTTATTTTTATGTGGTGCTGAGGATCGAACTCAAGGCCTCATGCATGCAAGGCTAGTGCTCTACCACTGAGCCACAACCCCAGCTCCCAGTCTACTACATTTTTATTCACCAATGGAACCCCCCAAGTACTTGCCCCTACAAACTTGCTTTCTACAACTTTCCAACTCTGCAAATGAGTTTCCTACTAGACTCTATGGTACTAACTGTCATAGGATCACAAATTTGGGGTGCAATAGGAATAGCACAAGTGCTGGATACCATAAAAGATATACAAATAGCTGTGTTTAAGGAGTTATCCATACTAATTAAACAGTCCAAGGATTGGAACCTGGCAGAATCTCATCATTATTTATGGTCTGCGGTGGTAGATAATTATCGGCCTAGATTACTTACTGGCTGCTGACAGAGGAGTTGGTGTAGCTTAGCACATCTTGCTATATGTAGCAGGTAATGCCAAATGTTAGAGATAGTCAGGGACCATCATTGACTAAACAATTGAACAAATCAAAATCCACCTTTTCTGACCTATTTTCCTGTCTTTCTCATACTAAGTGGGCAGATTGGCTGTGAAAGGACTTTAAAATCCTACTTTGTGCCCTTATAGGAATTTTGTCGGCTTTATTACAGGCTCCAAACTCAGGAATTACAAAATAACATACTTCTTAAATTGTAAAGTAACATGAGGCCAGGGGATAGATTGTTATATACATGAGTCGAAGCTAGCCTGTGTGTATTAGCCTCTATGATATTTACTTCTTCAAACAGGTAAGGTCTGTTCATAATTCTGCTGGTACCCAAACTCAATTTTAACCAATCATTTTAAATATAGCCCCAAACAGCTTTTTAGCCATTTAGAGACTGCCTGGTTTACATGCCACTGTGAAACTATCCATCTGCTAGCCATAGGTGATAACCTGGGGGAAGTAAAACAAAATCCTACTCTACAGCCCTTCTTTAGACCCAGAGACTCCCTGCTGTGGCTCTGAGACATCACATAGATACATAACTTTTCTCTGGGATTCTTCTCTCCACTTGTGAATGGTGTCCTGCAACCAGCCTCTAATAGGTCTCAGGCTTTAATGAGCACCCACCTCTAACCCCTTGCAAACCTGGTCAAAGGGTTGAACAAATAAAACTCTAGTGCTTCTGCCACCTTGTGTTCATATCTTTGTCCTTGTTGAGTCACCAAGTCCCTTGAAATCACTACAATTTCACCTATTTTCATTCTACATATAACTTAAATCACATATGATTATCATTATTTTACAATGTCAATATGTATATTACCCCACACATTTATCCTTTCTCTAATGGTTCACTTCTGGCATCTCTTCATTTTCATATGGGAACCTATCCTTTCAGTATTTCCTTTAGTGTGGGCTTGTCAATCATCAAAATATTCAAGTTTGTCTTCTGGAAATTTCTTCATTTTTTTTGAGGCGGGGTCTTGCAATGTTGCCCAGGCTGATCTCAACCTCGTGAGATCAAGTGATCCTCCCACCTCAGTCTCCCAAGTAGCTGGGACTATGGGTGTGTATCACCATGCCCAGCTAATTGTTTTTTGCATTTTCATTTTTTTTTATTGGTTGTTCAAAACATTACAAAGCTCTTGACGTATCATATTTCATACATTAGATTCAAGTGGGTTATGAACTCACATTTTTACCCCAAATACAGATTGCAGAATCACATCGGTTACACATCCACATTTTTACATAATGCCATATTAGTAACTGTTGTATTCTGCTACCTTTCCTATCCTCTACTATCCCCCCTCCCCTCCCCTCCCATCTTCTCTCTCTACCCCATCTACTATAATTCATTTCTCTCCTTGTTTGTTTTCCCATTCCCCTCACAACCTCTTATATGTAATTTTGTATAACAATGAGGGTCTCCTTCCAATTCTATGCAATTTCCCTTTTCTCTCCCTTTCCCTCCCACCTCATGTCTCTGTTTAATGTTAATCTTTTCCTCCTGCTCTTCCTCCCTGCTCTGTTCTTAGTTGCTCTCATTATAACAAAGAAGACATTTGGCATTTGTTTTTTAGGTATTGGCTAGCTTCACTTAGCATAATCTGCTCTAATGCATTTTCATTTTTGATGGGTGATTTCAATAGGTTTAGAATTCCAAATTGTCAACTTTGAAATCATAAAATTCCTTGAGTGACAAAATTACATGCAATGTAAGGCTCATCACTTTGCACATCCTTTTTCTTCTGAGATCATGACTTTTCAAGATTTCATTGCCTTGATAGATTTCTGGTGCTGACCTGGTAGTTTGTGTGTGTGTGCCTGTGTGTGTGTGCCTGTGTGTGTGTGTGTGTGTGCGCGTGCACGCTTGTGTGTGCGTGTGTGTGCGTGTGTGTGTGTGTGTGTGGTGCTGGGGATTGAACTTGTACTAGGCAAACACTCTACCACTAAGCTACATCCCCAACTCGCTTGGTAGTTTATGATGCCTTCAGTTTCTTTCCCCAAAATTTCTAGTTGCTTTTTGGCAGGTCCTAAATGAGGTTCCTTTACCAGAAATGGAACTCTTCAACACCATCATAAAGACTTATTTGTATTTAATTTTTCAGTACTGTAATTTGTTTAAATAATTAATTTAACATCCATATAGTTTTCAGTTATGTTATATTAAATTTCATAATGAAAACTCGTTAAATCCTTGTACATATAGCTTATGATTTCCTTAGAATCTATTTCCATAGATAGAATTGCTAGCCTATAAGATTTGATCAGTGTCAGGGCCATTAGAAATCACTGGAATATTTGCTTCTGAGGTTTAGAAATAGCCCAGACTTTTTGGTCATTCCTCTCTAAATGGGTATCTGGGCATAATATCTGCATTTGACTTCCAGAATTGGAATTAGATGCATGGCATAGGCGGACTGCTTTCACCAGCTGGAGACAGATGTGCTGACACTTTGTGGCTGCAGCCAGTTGTTTTCCCTCCCCAAACAAGTGTAAAGAAAGTCAACTCCCAGTTTGTTGTGGAGACATTAAGAAAGACCACATAGTTGTAAATGTTTGGAGCAAGGTATAAACACATTGGTAGAGAGTCAACAATGGTAAGCATGCTCTAATGGGCACTCCTGCTCTCTCTCTCCCCCCTTCCTCCCTCTTTCCTCTAGAAGGACCTGTCTCTGCACTCCACTCTCTTCCTCCTAGCTTATTACTGCTGTACTATTTTCAATTGGAATGCTTTTCTCATCCTTGTCCTTTTGGTATATATCTACCCATTCACCTTTAAACACCAACTCTTCTATGAAGCTTTTTCTGGATCTACAGGTAGATCCACTATACTTGGTACAAACTTCTAGAAAAATTTACTTCACTTGTTTTTTGACTGACTCCCACTCTTACAGTGCTTATTGAATGAATAAACTATGGGTTCAAGATTGGATTTTTCTCAAAAGTGCTAGAGTAAGTTCTTTAGATTCGACAAAGGGGAATGAAGGGAATTGGACATTACTATCCTATGTGCATATATGATTACACAATCAAAGTAATTCTGCATCATGTACTACCAGAGGAATGAGAAGTTATACTCCATATAAGTATACTATGTCAAAATATATTCTACTATCAAGTATAATTAGAAGAAATTAAAAAGTGCTAGAGAAATAGAGTAAAACAGAGTAGGTAACAATCATTAACACTGATTATGCCCAGATACCTATTTGAGAGGAAAGACCAAAAAGTCTGGGCTATTTCTAAGCCTCAGAAGCAAATATTCTAGTGATTTATAATGGCTCTGACACTGATCAAATCTTATAAGCTAGCAATTCTGCCTCTGAAAATAGATTCTAAGGAAATCATAAGCTATATGTACAAGGATTTAACTAGTTTTCATTATGAAATTTAATATCACAGTGCTAACGATTGTATCTTAATTGACCCTGACAACAGCTCTATTAAATGGGCCAGTGACTTGGGAGTAAGGGGATTACACAAATCTTGGAATTTTAGTGGCTTTCCCAAGGCAGGTTATAATTATCTGTACAGGTTAGTGTTGGGGCTGGCAATAGTGAAATTTTCAAGCGTGTTTCAGGCTTCTTGATTAAGACTAGATCCTGGGCCTTCAGACCCTCTGGAGAAGAGTTCTTCTTAGCTCACAGAAGTAGGAGAGTTTTTAGAGACCTAAATGGATAAAGTGATAGAGGATACAGGGGCAGGGATGATGATGACTGCACCCTTCCAGAGACTATGAACATTTTTCTCTGAAATGGTTTTGGGGAAAGGGCAATTCCCAATGATATTAGCTACCAAATTCGAGAATCTATTAAGCCTGGCACTGTGTGTAGAAGCCCTCTAATCCATACCCTAATTCTGAGAAGCAGCTATTATTGCCTCTGTTTTTATACTCTACCTATCTGCTCCAAGCTCCTTGTCTCAGTCTACCAAAGCCTCCCTCCTGCTACTGCGCTGCTTTGGTGCAGAATCACCGCAACCACTTTCTCAGACCCAGGGGAGGGGCTGGGCTGGGCGGGGTCGCCTTGTCGCAGAGCCCGACTGCGCCTGCGCGGACTGCGGCAGAAGGCGGGGTGTGACAAGCAGAGTATATACTGAGACTAGCGTTCACTGTTGGCCAGTACCTGCCTCCTTTCTCACCACCTCTGATTTCAGCTCCAGTAAGTTGCTTGGGACTTTGGTTTTGGCAGCAGCCGCAGCAGCAGCATTGCCACTGTGCCGTCCTCTTTCTGCTAGATCGCCGGCCTGTCGGTGTCTGCTCCCATACGCCGGTCGGCAGGACCATGTCGCTGGTAAGCCAGAATTCGCGCCGCCGCCGCCGCCGCAGTGCAAAGGCCACTGCGCAGAACAGCAGCTGGGGTGAAATGCAGGCCCCTGACGCCCCCAGTCTCTCCGCTGCTATGCCAGGCCCAGACGTCCCCCAGGGTCCCAGCGATCTGGAGACCCTCCAGGGCCTCTGCGCCTCTGAGGACCCAGGCACCTCCGTGCCGCCCACCCCTGATGAGGGCCCAACCACCTCTAAGCCGCCCACCGTCTCTGAGGGCTCAATCGCCTCCGAGCAGCCCACCGTCTCCGAGGGGCCGAACACCTCAGAGCTGCCCACCCCCATTGAGGGCCCAAGCACCTCTGGGCCTCCTGCGGTCTCTGAGGGACTGAACACAGCCGTATTGATCAACGCCTATGAGGGCCTAAGCCCCCTTGTGTCACCCTCTGCTTCTGAGGGCTCAAGCGTCTCTGAGCAGCCCACTGTCACTGAGGGGCTGAACACCTCCGAGCTACCCCTCTCCGATGAGGGCCCAAGCACTTCTGTGCTGCCCACCACCGCTGAGGGACTGGGCATCTCCGTGTCGCCCACCCCCGCTGAGGGCCCCAGCACCTCCGTGCTGACCACCGTCTCTGAGGGACTGGGCATCTCTGTGCCGCCCACCTCCAGTGAGGGACTGAGCAATCTTATGCCGCCCACCCTCTCCGAGGGACCGGGCATCAACGTGCCGCCCCCATCCGGTGAAGGTCCGAGCACCTCTGTGCCGCCCACCACCTCTGAGGGACCTGACACCTCTGTGCTGCCCCCATCCGGTGAAGGCCCGAGCACCTCTGTGCCGCCCACCACCTCTGATGGACTAGGCATCTCCGTGCCGCCCCCCTCCAGTAAGGGCCAGATCACCTCTGTGCTGCCCTCCTCTGGTAAGGGCCCGATCACCTCGGTGCCGCCCACTGACTCTGAGGGACCTGGCGCCTCGGAGCCGCCCACCCGCGGTGAGGTCCCGAGCACCTCCGTGCGGCGCAATTCCGGGGAGGGCCCGAGCACCTCTGGAATGGCCACTGCGGCCGAGGACCCGAGCACCTCTGGGATGCTCATCGTTGCTGAGGGCCCGAGTACCTCTGGAATGGCCACTGCCACCGAGGGCCAGAGCACATCTGAGATGCTGACAGTTGGGGAGGGCCCAAGCACCTTTGACATGGCCGCCGCCGCCGCCGCCGCTGAAGGCCCGAGCACCTCTGGGATGCTCATCATTGCCGAGGGCCCGAGCACCTCTGGAATGGCCCCCGCGGCAGAGGGCCCGAGCACCTCTGAGATGCTGACAGTTGGGGAGGGGCCGAGCACCTTTGAGATGGCCGCCGCCGCCGCCGCCGAGGGCCCGAGCACCTCTGGGATGGCCACAGCCGCCAAGGGCCCGAACACATCTGAGATGCTGACAGTTGGGGAGGGGCCGAGCACCTTTGAGATGGCTGCCACCGCCGCCGCCGCCGCCGCCGAGGGCCCGAGCACCTCTGGGATGGCCACAGCCGCCGAGACCCCGAGCACCTCTGGGATGCTCACCATTGCTGAGGGCCCGAGTATCTCTGAGATGGCTGCTGCCGCAGAGTGCCCAAGCACCTCTGGGATGGCCGCCGCCGCTGCTGGCCCGAGCACCTCTGGGATGGCCGCCGCCGCTGACGGCCCGAGCACCTCTGGTATGCTCGCTGCTTCTGCGAACCCTGCTCCAGTGTTGAGCTTGGGTGCTGCTGTGGGCCAGACCTCCTCCAAGTGCCCTATTGCTTTGCCAAGCTCCTGCGTCGCCAGGCCCTCCTCGGACTCTAAGCGCCCCAAGGGTGCGGAAGGCCCCATGGAATTCCAGGTCCTCAGAGACCGTGAGAACTCCAACTCCATTACGATTATGGGCCTTGGCACTACCCAGGTCGCGCTAACCCTGAAGCCCCAGGATCCTATGGAGCAGAATGTAGCTGAGTTGTTACAGTTTCTGCTGGTGAAGGATCAGAGCAAGTACCCTATCCGGGAATCCGAAATGCGGCAATATATTGTTAAAGAATATCGCAGCCAGTTCCCTGAGATCCTCAGGCGAGCAGCAGCCCACCTGGAGTGCATTTTTAGATTTGAATTGAGGGAGCTTGATCCTGAAGAGCGCACATATATCCTGCTCAACAAGCTGGGGCCTGTGCCCTTTGAAGGACTGGAAGAGAACCCAAATGGGCCAAAGATGGGCCTCCTGATGATGATCCTAGGACAAATCCTCCTCAATGGCAACCAAGCCAAGGAAGCTGAGATTTGGGAAATGCTCTGGAGGATGGGGGTGCAGCGAGAGAGGAGGCTTTCCATTTTTGGGAACCCAAAGAGACTTCTGTCTGTAGAGTTTGTATGGCAGCGGTACTTGGACTACAGGCCAATAACTGACCGTACCCCAGTGGAATACGAATTTTTCTGGGGACCAAGATCCCACATAGAAACCAGCAAGATGAAAATTCTGAAGTTCATGGCTAAGATCTATAACAAAGATCCTTCCGACTGGCCAGAGCCATACAATGAGGCTCTGGAAGAAGAGGCTGCTAGAGCCTATGCTGAGGGTTGGCAAGCTCTCCCTCCCTTTAGGAGGCCCTTTTTTGAAGAAGCTGCAGAGGTAGCATCTCCTGATTTTGATGTTTCTGCCTATCCCTCAAAATATCCTCCACATTCATGGCCTGAGTCAAGAATGGAGAGCAAGTCAAGGAAGTTGGTGCAGTTATTTCTGCTGATGGATTCGACTAAGCTGCCTATACCAAAGAAAGGAATTCTGTACTACATTGGCCGAGAGTGCAGCAAAGTATTCCCTGACCTCCTGAATCGTGCTGCTCGCACCCTGAACCACGTGTATGGGACAGAGCTAGTGGTTCTCGATCCAAGAAACCACTCCTATACCCTGTACAACCGAAGAGAAATGGAAGATACTGAAGAGATTGTAGATAGTCCAAATAGGCCTGGCAACAACTTCTTGATGCAGGTTCTGAGCTTCATCTTTATAATGGGCAACCATGCTAGGGAGTCTGCAGTGTGGGCCTTTCTGCGGGGCTTAGGGGTTCAAGCTGGGAGAAAGCATGTGATTACCTGTAGGTATTTGAGTCAGCGCTACATAGACAGTTTACGGGTTCCCGACAGTGATCCAGTACAATATGAGTTTGTATGGGGCCCTAGAGCCCGCTTGGAAACCTCCAAGATGAAAGCGCTGCGCTATGTGGCCAGAATCCACAGAAAGGAGCCACAGGACTGGCCAGAGCAGTACAGGGAGGCAATGGAAGATGAGGCCAATAGAGCTGATGCTGGTCACAGGCAATTCCTTGTTCACAACTTCAGATAGAGGAGTATGTGGCAGTCAGAGAGGCCTTGCAAGGCCGGGCCCTAGAGCCCTATGCCTCATGTATTGGGTGGGGGGGTATGTATTGTATTTGTATTTGTGTTCCAGTTCCATTTATGTCTTTTCATATTTAGTTCTTGTTTGGTATCTTGAAATGTTTCAATTGTTTTAATATATTGTCCAGTAGGGTAAATGTGATTGACTACTTGCTGTCTCTGTTGTATTTTGGTATAAGAGTTTTGATAGTGTTATAAAATGTTTTGGGAATCTTTCCATCTTGTTGCATTATCTGGAAGAGAATATATAGCATATAGCTATAGATATAGGCTTTTCCTTGAAAGCTTGAAAAAAATTCACCAGTAAAGTGATCTAGCTTCTGATGTTAAACAAACAAGCAAATATATCAACAACTGAAAAAGCACTCTAAGTTATGGCTGGCCTCCCTTTCTGTCTGCTATTGTGTAAAGAATACCAATGTTTACCTGTATTTGCTTTGCTGTACTAAAATGTAATGAAAAATAAAAGTGTAATAAATCAAACATAATGCTAATGCACTATTTATTCCACAAACATTTATTAAATTTCTTTCATGCAATGAGCACAGTGTTATTATTTTGGTTATACAAGTATACAAATATACAAGATATAACATCACTCTGAAACTCAGGGACTGGGGTGTAGGGGGTGGTCACTTAAATCAGCAATTTTATTATGGTGCACCAAGTATTCTATGAGAGTTAAGAGGAGGTATACCTAACTTAATCCCTGGGATGTTCAGAGTGGTCCTTGGAGAAGATGATGGCTGTGTGGGGGATGAGGGGGGCAAGATTGGGTCCCTAATACAATCATGAGATAAACTGCTTCAAAGCTGGATTTCAGTCCTCATGATTGCTTATAGGAAATTAAGTCAAATATTTAAGGGCAAAGGGTGAGAGGTTTTATATATCATAAACTGTCCCATTAAGACATATGAATCAGCTTTCTGTAAGTTATACTGTAGTTCTTAATCCCCAAATCCTAGTGGTATACAACAACAATTTTTGGGCTCATTTTATCTATTCTTCATGGGTTGCATTTGATTCTGTTTATTTTGTCTTCAATCAGGTAACCAAGCTAAAGGAGTAGCCCATATAGTAGGAAACCATGTGATAGTTCTTAAAGCATCTGCTCATACATATTATACTCATAATCCATTGGCAACAGCAAGTCACATAACCAAGCTTGTTCTCAATGGGGTGGGAAGTGTATTCCCACCGAGGAGTAGGGATGGGCCTAGTACAAAACAACATATATTTAAAAAATTTAGTACCATATAAAAATTTTGCTTTTGCTATGGCTGAGATGGGAAACTATTAAACTATTAAAGGATTTTGATCTGAAGAATGGAAGGATACAATTTAGTTTTGACAGAATTACATTGACTCTTGTATTGAAAATCTAAAGTGGGGCAGAAAATCTAAAGGAGGGCAGAAGCTATAATTTTAGCATAGTAGTTCCTTCTTAATGTTCTTATGAAAAGAAGTGTTATTTTTCAAACAAAATTGAGTTGAAATGAATTGAAGTCAGGAAGCCTGTTACATTTGAAAAAAACACCTCAGAAATCAAACTCCAGGGATATCAAGTTTAAAAGGCATAGCATAGTGTTCTAGAGTCATAGTGCCTGGATATAAACCCTGACTCTCTGATAATTACTAGATGTGAGACCTTAGGAAAGTTACTCAATCTCTTTGTGCTTCAGGATCCTTGTCTGTAAAATGGTCATAATAATTTTATTTAATTATAAATTAAATAAATCACAACTAATGTTGTGAGGATTAAATATGTTAACATATAAAACCCAGGACTTAACATATATTTAGCAATATAGAGGTGATGTTGCAAGTTGATTTTTCTGGGAATGAGGCTATGAAGTGGATATTCTCCTGACAAAAATTTTACTGGGGACTGGTTTTGCATTCAGCACCTAGGGGGAAACAAAGGAAGCAAAAATATTAGAGAGAGAAAAGCTGAGCAGTGACAGTGTCACAACAAATAATTTAGTTGATTCCACAGGCAGTTTTTAGGTTGGGATGGCCTTGCAGAGTTGTCCCAAATTAGGAAAAGGGGGCCACAATTTTATAATCCCTAGACTGACCAGTCACTGAATGCAGGCTGTCTCCTGGTAAGGGGCTATGGAAAAGTCAGTTATTTTCAGCCACAAGTAATATGTGAGAAATATATTCAACTATAAACACAGCAGTGGTCAACACCCTCAAGAACTGGAGGAATGAGCACTTCAGTCCTGAACAGTAAGGGCATCTGGTGGTACATCACAATATCCACTATGGTTGTTGCTTTCTTTTTCTTCCCCTTCATTCTCTGTAATTCTTCTTCTTGTTGTTATTATTCCTACTGTTTTTGTTGTCATTCAAAAAGGTGAAATATTTTCTCATCATTCTCCCTGGAATATAGCACCCACATCACTGAGTCACTTTATTTTTGGTACAACCTTCCTTTTTTTAAAGAGGCTTTTAATAATAGAGCTTCTTTTTACCTCGTAAGTTCTATGTCAGTTTTTAATTTTTTTTCATGTTTCTTGTAGACTTGTGTCTTTGTCAAGTTTTTCCCAGGAGATGTTACCTAAGTAAGTCTCTCAATAGGTTTTTGTTTGTTTGTTTTTTGCTATTTAAATCTTGAGAAATATCTTGATTTCAGATAAATTTGATCAATATGCACAAATATTCAGAATATCCCTCTAAGGACAACCAAGGTAGAAAATATAGTCTTTCATGCTTTTCTCTTAGAAATGGCAATTTTGGACACAGATAAAATATCTGATTAAATATTCAAGACTTAAAGAAAGAAAAAATTATTATCCTGAAATAATTATAAAATTGAAATATCTATTTTAGCAGAGGATTAGTTGAATAAGGTGTTTGCAAGTTAAAACTGTGTGTTTGTGTGTGTACAAAATATTTGGAACAATTTACATTCTCATATGTGCTAATTAACATTCTGTTACCATAACAAAATACCTGAGATAATCAAATTTAAAAGAAATGGGGTTTATTTTGGCTCACAGTTTTGGAGGTTTCAGTCCATGGACAGTTGGCCTGTTGCTTTGGGGTCTGTGGCAAGGCAGTATGTCATGATGGAATTGCATGGTGAAGGAAGCCTATTAACCTCATGACCCGGACAAGACAGAGACCAGTATCTCACAATCTTCTACAAAAGCATGCCCCCAGTGACCTAAGACCTCTCACTAGGCCCCACCTTTTAGTGGTTTCAGCACCCCCCTGCCCAGCAAAAAAAAAAAAAAAATGCTCCATGGGCTGAGAACAAGGCTTTTAACATATGGACCTTTGGGGGACATTTCAGATTCAAACAACAGAATCAATTATTTCCTGTTTTGCCACTGAATTCAAACCCATTTATAGACACATAATTATGTGTCTATGTAAAAATAAAAACAATGCTCAAGCAAGATCTACTTTACTTATAACCAACCCAATCCTTGAAAATAGTGACTCTCTTAGACATTTTAACAGAAAATACTCTTACTGAATGTAAAGCATTTAATCAGATATTCATAAAGGGAAAAAACACACACAGTAGCACAAACAAAATGCAAATATTGTACACTGTTCAAGTTAATGAAAATGAATAATAATTAAAATTATCTTTAAAATATGCAGTCATTTATTCTAAATAGAAATATTTAGAAACAAGTACTATAAAATTAATAAGCATGTCTTACGATTTCTATTACTCTCTTGAAGGAAAACTCCCAAAAGGATCCCAAAGACTTATGTCTTTGTCAAGTTGTTCCCAGGAGATGTTACCTGAGCAAGTCTCTTAACAGGAAAAGAAACAGTTGATTAAAAAACCGTTACTAATGAGGACAGGGTGTGTAGCTCAGTGGTATAGTACTTGCCTAGCATGCGTAAGGCTCTGGGTTTAGTTCCTAGAAACACACACACACACAGAGACTGAAACAACCATTATGATGAAAGTAATGTCAATTTAAGGCAATCATTAATAGATCCTAAAGATCATAATTGTACTGATACCAAACTTGGATATTTATGTAAACTGTTGCTTCCAACAACTTATTTATAAAATTAAAGATATTTACTGCCCTTCTTGCTTGGTTCTCACATATCTCTGTTCAAATACATCAATTTGGATTAGGATACAAGCTTTTGTTTCACAATTCCTCATACTCAGTGGAGGGTCATGCTCTTGTGATCATATGAATGTGTGGTATTTTGTTGAAATGTGCCTCAATCATTCTGCATTAAGATAATGATCATTTGCCAGGCTGGTGGAGCATGCATGCCTATGATCTCAGCGACTCAGGAGATTGAGGCATGAGGATCAAAAGTTTAAGACCAGCCTAAGCAACTTAGATCCTGCCTCAAAATTAAAAAAATAAAAAGGGCTGGAGATGTAGCTCAGTGGTAAAACACCCTTGGGTTCAATGCTACTACTACCACTACTACTAGACCTGTGTAGTTATACCCTTGCAAAGATCATTAATTGTCTAATTGTAGTGCTCATCTATGATGGAACATAAAATTTCTGAACTCCATAGCAAATGTGTCTTCTTGCTACATGAAACAGAATCACAGGTGGGACTCTATTGTCTTCTTTCTGATAAATGGCTGTATAATATTTCCCTTTATTATTATTATTATTATTTTTTTGGTTCCCAGGATTGAACCCAGGGACTCTTTACCACTGAGCTACATCCCCAGCCCTTTTCATTTTTATTCAGAGACAGGGTCTCACTGATTTTCTTGGGGGCCTTGCTAAGTTGCTGAGTCTAGCTTTGAACTCACAATCCTCCTGCCTCTGCCTCCCAAGCCACTGGGATTACAGGCATGTACCACCACTCCCGGCTATAATATTTCCCTTTTTGTCAAAGAAATTACACAGCCACTTAATCTAAACTGCTGAAGTTTCAGGTTACATTCTTCAGGTGATTACTTATTTGAATGATGACTCATCAAAATTGTAAAATTTTATTTCCCCAAAGTTGAATTTGGTATATACAGCTTTCAAAACTGGTGGATGAAATAGAAAGTATGATTATGGGAATGCAGAACTGTCATAGTTTGTGGGTTATTTAGATAGTATCAAAGCAGTCATTTTGAGATGAGTGTAATTTTTTTCCTGAGTGAAATAGCTTTGTTCTATCTTCCTAGATTAGAGTACTTCAAAGACTGACAGTGATAAAAAGCAGGTAAGTCAATGGCAGTCACTAGATTTGGATGAAATATGCCACATATGCTTCTGACAATAAATGTCAATTAATCTTAAAAAAAGAAAATATGTAAAGCAAGGAAACACTTAGGTCTCAGATGATAGACACAATGTAAAAACTAAAAGGTTAACAAGAAGGAAAAAAACAATAACTAAAGGAGCAAAAACAGAGTAGCTAAGTATTTTATCAAGGCACTTGCTAAAGTTGAAAAACAAGTAGTACCTCTATTGCTTTTTTTCTGGGAAGTGTTCTTACTGACATTCAATATTTAACTGCACTTATCTTCTAGT